TTTGGCAACCCTAGCCTCCCCCCCCCATCGCACCTGACATCCCCTTTGCCTAAAACATCTTCTCGCAGATTGTGTAAATGCCAGGTGATAGAGTGTGACTCCAGTCCTGGGCAGACGGTCACCAACCTCCAGGTGGTGGCTGGAGATCTCCTGGGATTGCAACTGATCTCCGGGCAACAGAAAACAGTTCCCCTGGAGATTTGGAAGGTGGAATCCATGGCATCCCTCCCCTCCTGAAACCCCACCCTCCTCAGGCTCCACCCACAAAATCTCCAGGTATTTCCCAACCCAGTGCAGGCAACCCTATTGTGCACTGTGGGTCCACTTGAATCTCATCGCAGTCAGTTAGACTAAGCAACTGGGGAGGGGCTGTGGCTCAGTGGTAGGGCATCTGCTTGGAATGCAGGAGGTCCCAGGTTCTATCCCTGGCATCTCCAGTTAAAAAGGGTCCAGGAGGAGGTGATGTGAATGACCTCTAACCTGAGAACTTGGACAGCCTCTACCAGCTTGAGCAGTCAATACGTAACACTTCACTTCAGTGCTGTGTTTCAGGTTTCTGGTTAGTGCCAGGTTTATTCATCTTGTTACAAAATTTGTAATCCAGCCGTTCTGCCGTAACTGATTTCTAAGGTACAGATCCTATTGCACTGTTTAATGCCTTTTTCTCCCTCTGGATTTGCTGCCAGAGGATGTTGCGATGGCCACAGGAATAAACAGCTTTCAGAGGGAATTAGATGGATTAATGGAGGATAAGTCTATCAATGGCTACTAGCCCTGGTGTCTGAGGGGAACCTCCACATTCAGAGGCACTAAGCCTCTGAATCCCAGAGCCAAGAGGCAACATCAGGAGAAGGCCTTGGTTTCTATGCCCTGTTGTTGGCCATCCAGAGGTACTAGTTGGCCACTGTGTGACACAGGAGGCTGGAGTAGATGGGCCACTGGTCTGATCCAGCAGGGCTCTTCTTGTGTTCTTACAAAGGCCTCGGCCTCTATGCCCTGTTGTTGGCCCTCCAGAGGAACTGGTTGGCCCCTGTGTGAGACAGGATGCTGGACGAGATGGACCACTGGTCTGATCCAGCAGGGCTCTTCTGTTCTTAGGAAGGCCTCTGCCTAGGGTTGCCAGCCTCCAGGTGGGGCCTGAGGATCTTCTGCTTTTAAAACTGATCTCCAGCTGACAGAGATCAGCTCCCCTGGAGAAAATGGCTGCTTTGAAAGGTGGACTCGATGACGTTGTACCAGGCTGAGGCCCCTCCCCTCCCCAAAACCCACCCTCTCCTGGCTGCATCCCCAAAGTCTCCAGATATTTTCCAACCCAGACCTGGCAACCGTACCTCAGCCTCTCTGCCCTGTTTGTTGGCCCTCCAGAAGAACTGGTTGGCCACTGTGTGAGATGAGATGCTGGACTAGATGGACCATTGGTCTGATCCAGCTGGGCTCTTCTGATGTTGTGATAGATGTCCCATCCTGTTGATTTGTTGACTTCCTCTGCCTAACCAACCTCGAGTCCCTGTGAGAATGGCTGATTATAAAGGGTAAATAGATAAAAATTAAAAATTTACCTCGATGGATCAATGTTCTGATCCAGTATAAGGAAGCTCCAAGTGCTAAAGGTTCTAACCTCTAAAGCCCTCAACGTCTGGGGCCAATGTACCTGTAGGACCTCTTCTCCTGGTATGTCCCCAGAAGAGCCTTGCCCTCCCAAGACCAAAACCTGCTGGTGATCCCAGGCCCAAAAGATGCCTGGCTGTCCTCGCCCAGAGCAAGAGCCTTTTCAGCCCTGGCTCCTGTCTGGTGCAACCCTCTACCTGGAGCAGGGCTCTTTTTGTAGAAAAAGCCCAGCAGGAACTCATTAGCATATTGGGCCACACCCCTGACAGCACAGCTCATTAGAACATTAGGCCACACCCCCATGTTACCAGTAATGTGGTTATCCAGCCGCACCCACCTTTTGCTTCTTATTCTGTTTACCTTGTCTGTTGTCAAAACCCAGGGCTTTTTTGTAGCAGGAATTCCTTTGCATGTTAGGCCACACACCCCTAATGTAGCCAATCCTAATGAGTTTCTGCTGTTGGGTGTGGCCTATTATGCTAATGAGTTCCTGCTGGGCGTGGCCAACTTCGGAGCCAGCCGGAACTCCGTTCCTGTGCGTTCCTGCCCAAAAATAGCCCTGACCTGGAGACATCTGTGCCCTGTGGGACCTTGTACAGCTCCACAGGGCATCCAAAACAGAGATGCTCCACCAGGCCTATGGCTGAGGACGGCAACAGTTTTCCCATCTCATCCGGCCCATGACCAAACCTCCCCCGGAGGAAGTCACCACATGCAGAACAGACAGAAGGTTGCTTCCACTGGTTTTATTGGAATTACGACTGGCTGTCTGGTTTTAAATTTATTCATTTATGTACTACGATGTTTGAACTTGAATTGTGTTTTAGCTATGTTGTACACTGCCCAGAGCCCTCTGGGGGAAAGCGGTTTAGAAATTTAATAAATAATCCGACTGCAGGACTGCCACCCAGGTCCCTCCTGCCTGCTCTGAAGTATCTACTTGGAATAAAAGCAGTTTTAAAATGCTAATGCTAATAATGCTAACGCCGCTGCTGCTGATTTTCTAGAAAACTAGCAAAGTCTACCTTGGTCCTGATCCTCGTCTTCGGAGTCCATTACATCGTCTTTGTGTGTCTCCCTCACAACTTCTCAGGGTTAGGCTGGGAGATTCGGATGCACTGCGAACTCTTCTTCAACTCCTTCCAGGTGAGCGGGTCGTGACGCTCGTCCTCCCGAGTCTCACGGTTTGGTGATCCATAGGGGAGATTCGGCCCTGGACTCCGGCAGAACTATGCAGGCCCTCTCCGAGGTCCAGAGAGGACCGGGGCAAATGTGGCTTTTGAGATACCTAGCCATAATAAGAATAAAAAATCGTGACTCGTGAGAAAAAGCCACCCACAAATTATAATTTGGAATTAACACATGTCTAGATGGGAGCCTCGGGTTGCTAGGTCTTACCTGGCTGCCGGCGGGGGGCTCCAGCCTGGGTTCCTGAATACCAAAATTCCACATTGAGCGAGGCTGACAGTCTTGTGGTGCCTTTAAAAAGCTTTTGGGCCATGAAAAGACTAACAGACAACTCGTGGGCAATTGACTGCAGCAAGAAATCTTTCATTCCAAGGATCTGCAGTGTGCAAGGGGACCTCTGGTACCCAAGGGGACCTCTGGTACCCACTCGGGTTGCCAGCCTCCAGGGGGTGCCTGGTGATCTCCGGCTATTTCAACTGATCTCCAGACACAGAGATTAGGCAAAATGGCCTCTCTGGAAGGTGGGCTCTGTGGCATTATACCATATTAAAGTCCCTCCCCTCCCCAAACCCCGCCCCCCCAAATCTCCAAGTATTTGTCAGCTCGGAGCTGGCAACACTACTCGCGAAGGTTAAGCAAACTGGCAAGGAGCAACCCTAGCTGAGAGAGAACGCATACTGTTAGATCGCCACTAACAAAGATCCGGAGAGTGATTTCGACAAAGTGAACAGCTTTATTGTAGGTACGAACAAGCGCTCGCAATAAGTCATAACCAGAACAGTTTCACACTGGGAGCTAGGCTTCTTTTAAACGTTCCCGGCTAACGTAGCCACGCCTACTTGCAGATAACAACCAATGATGTTGTGTAGATAAACTCCATTGAGCGTTCTTCCCTCGCAGGGAATTAGTCCCGTTCTGATTGGTCGCTGTTGCGGGCCGACCAATGATAAGTTAGCTCGGAGGAGCCTTCCTTGTCTCGAGCTTAACATTGAAAGTGAATGTGGTGATTCACATATGTCTTTTCCGAAGACACCACACATACAAAGCACATTCATTTGCCACGAGGTTTCTTTGAGGGTAGCTTCTGTCCAGTTTTGCTTTGTACAAGACAATAAAGGCTGATGAGTCTCAGGAAAGAGGTGATTGGGGGACAAAAGTTTATAAAATCATACATGGGGCTGACCGAGAGCTGACCGAGAGCTGACCGAGAGAACTTTTTCTCCCTCTCCCAAAATACAAGGACTTGAGGACCTCCAATGAAGTGGATGGAGAGTAGATTCAGGACAGACAAAAGGAAATTCTTCTTTATACAGAGAGTGACTAAAACGTGGGATTGGCTGCCAGAGCATGTAGTGATGGCCACTGTCATAGACAGCTTAAAAAAGGGATTAGACAGATTCATGGAGGATAGGTCTATAAGTGGCTACTGGCCATGGTGACTGAGGGGAACCTCCACGTTCAGAGACACTAATCCTCTGAATCCCAGAGCCAGGAGGCAACCTCAGGGGAAGGCCTCGGCCTCTGTGCCCTTCGGTTGGCCCTCCAGAGGAACTGGTTGGCCCCTGTGTGAGACAGGATGCTGGACTAGATGGATCTCTGGTCTGATCCAGCAGGGCTCTTCTTATGTTCTTAGGAAGGCCTTGGCCTCTATGCCCTGTTGCTGGCCCTCCAGAGGAACTGATCGGCCACTGTGTGAGACAGGATGCTGGACTAGATGGACCACTGGTCTGATCCAGCAGGGCTCTTCTTTTGTTCTTAGGAAGGCCTCGGCCTCTCTGCCCTGTTGTTGGCCCTCCAGAGGAACTGGTTGGCCCCTGTGTGACTCAAAAATGATGGTCACAGTCACAGAACAGACCGCAAAAAGAAGGCAGAAACTGTGAGGTAACTGCGCTAGATAATATTTCAATAATAATCACAAAAATGTACAAAAATGTGTGCAGAATTTATATAATTTTCTGCACACATTTTTGTACAATGTTGTGATTATTACTGAAATATTATCTAGCGCAGTTATCTCACAGTTTCTTTCTTCTTTTTGTGGCCACTGTGTGAGACAGGATGCTGGCCTGGATGGACCACTGGTCTGATCCAGCAGGGCTGTTCTTATTTTCTTATTTTCTTTTGACTTACCGGCAATTCCAATGCTAATTCAGCATCACCACGCCACCCAGTCCTACACATACTTCAGGCAGGCTATTTGCTGTCTAGAAGTTTTTTAATCTCTCCATGTATACAGCATCTCTCTGTTGCCTTATTTTGTTAAGATTAATGCAGCTGTAAAGCTGCTCCCAAGGGGTGGGGGAGGAAGTCGATAACCTCCCGACGGTGTGCAGCGACCGGCCTCTGCCGCAATCTTGCAAAGCCAGTTTGCATCGAACTCCACGTTTGCCTGTCCAGGAGGAGTTGCCTCCTGGAGTAGCCCCGACATCCCATAATGTTGCATTTGTATGCAGTCAAGGTTGGCGAGAAGCGGATGTGGAATTTTGGTACGCTAAGAACGGCATTAAATTTTGACGGGCTGAACTCAAATTGCTGTGGAGCCGGTTATTTCGTGTCCACTTCATGCTGCTCCTCTCGTAAAAAATGCCGAGCCTTTGCATTCGATTATGAAGCCCAGATGCCTCCCTGCCCTTCCACAGAAGCAAACCCAGCAAGTGGAAAACAGGCATCTCTAAATCAGTATTCTTTCTAGGGATGCCAGCCTCCAGGTCGGACCTGGGGATCCCCTGAAATTACAGCTCATCTCCATATCACAGAGATCAGTCCCCCTGGAGAAAATTGATGCTTTTTTTGGTATTTTTTGCATTTTTAAGTGTGTGTGTGTGCAGCTGGAAGTTATGGCAACCTCTGGGGGATATTCAGAGAGGTGGCTGAATAAAGCCTGCCCCCGCCTCCTGACCACTGGTATGCCAAGGAGGTCTCCCATTCAAGCAGGGCTCTTTTTGTAGCAGGAGCTCCTTTGCATATTAGGTGACACGCCCCCTAATGTATCCAATCCTCCAAGAGCTTACAGAGCTCTTCTTACAAGGGCTACTGTAAGCTCTTGGAGGATTGGCTACATTAGGGGTGTGTCACCTAATATGCAAAGGAGTTCCTGCTACAAAAAGAGCTCTGCATCCAAGTACTTGCCAGAGTCGACTCTGCTTACGTAATTACTCCGCACTGTTACTGGTGGATTTTTTAAATATTATTGTTCCCAGTTTTAGGCTGTGGTTACACGGCAAGGCAATTAATTGCGCCTTATTCCCGATGCAATTAAAACCGGAATATTTTTCCCCCCGAGTTGGGATGTTCACACATCCCTCCCTGAACTGCAAGCTTCCCTTCCCCGCCTACCCACCTCCCCCCACCCCCAGCAACTTTCCAGCCACCGGCCCGATGAAAAGGAAAGGAAAAGGCACCTTTGAAAGAGTTCTCCTTTCCACCCAATGCTGCTGGCTAGCTGGGCTCCCTCCCCGGTGCCGTGGGCTCCCTCCCTCCCTCCTAACGCCGCAGCTTCGGGGACTCCTGGGGCGGATGCCAAAGCCCGCTCTCCTGACAGCCCGCCCTCCCAGCTTCCTCCCCCAGAAACTTTCAACGCCGCCTCCATGCCGGGGGACGGCAAGCAGGACTTTTCTCCAAGCAGGAGGAGCACTTGTTTACTCAAGCGCTCAAAGTCAGAAGGAGTTTTTAAAAAACACAACAACAACAACGCACAGAGCAGTCAGACGGCCCTAATTGCAATGATTGCGAAAGATGGCTGTCCAGATGGGTGAAATCACACGTTCAAAGCGCAAGTGCCAGGAAAATCCTTGATTTTCCCGGGGGCAGGAAAACCCGGGAGCATTGCGGGAGTGAGCCCGCTTCAGCGCGGGAGGTGGATTCGCCTGTTTGATCAGCAAGCTTCAATGCGGGAGGGAACAGCGGCGAAACCCGATCAAAAGGACCGTGTGACCACGGCCTTATGGGATGTCTCAGCTATCAGTTAGTTTGACTGCTTAATAACATCCTATTTGGTCAGTTGACAACTGGACTTTTGTAAAAAAAGATTGCGAGTTCATTGGTCCTGGTGTTGTAAGTGACTGCAGTGTCGTACTGCTTTCAACAGAGTCATGTTTGTGAATTCTTACTGGTGGGACTTGTATATGATTCGGGAGCCTCTGAGATGCAGCCCACTTTCGGAGCTTAACATATTTGGTTATGGTAGCTTCCAAGGTCTGACGCGATCGGGCTTGCCTGGGCTATGCAGTTCAGGGCGAGAAGATTGATGCTTTGGAGGGTGGACCCTGTGGCCTTGTACCCCACTGAGGTCCCTGTCTTCCCCAGGCTCCATCCACCAATTTTAGGGTTGCCAACCCCCCCGGTTTGCCAGGGGTCCCCCATTTTGGGGGGTTCTACCCACCACCGGTCAGATGGCCGGCGGGGGAAGCCCCACCCCAACACCCACAACCACCCATCTCTCTCCCTTTAAGTGTGTGGAACCCGTGTTTCCTCCCAAGCCTGATCTCCGCAGGCTTGCAGGGAAATGCCAGCTTCGTGCTCTTAAAATGGAAACGCGGCTGCTCTTAAAGGGGAAACGCCGGCTCCTTTAAGTGCAGGGAACTGCAGTTTCTGGAGATCTGGCGCACAGGCAGGTGGGGGGCGCAGACATCCCCAACGTGACATCATCTTGTTGGGGATGCCCCGCCCCCTCCAGGAATGCCCCCAAAGTCCCCCGCTGGGGGTGGAAGATGGACTTGGCAACCCTACCCAATTTCCAGGAGTTTCCCAACCTGCATCTGGCAAACCTACACCCTCCCCCCCGCCAGTGGCCATGGGTGACGAGGCAACCTTAATTATTCCAAGCATGTGTCTTCTTTGTTCTTTCCCCTCACTTTCTGCCCTCTGAATCAGGTGAGCAGCCACGTTGGTCTGAAGCAGTAGAGTAAAGCTCGAATCCAGCGGCACCTTCAAGACCGACAAAGTTTTATTCAAGGTATGAGCTTCCTTGTGCGCATACACATGCACGCGCACACACACTTCCTCAGATACATTGACACAGAAGTTAACAGTCCATACATATAGGCAGAGGGTGAACAGCAGATTAGCATACAGCACAATCCCAGTCCATTTAAAACATTTCAAACATCTTCACTATGTCGTATGCTAATTTGTTGTTCATCCTCTGCCTATATGTATGGACGGTTAACTTCCACTTCAGTGTTACCTAAGGAAGTGAGCGTGCGCACGAAAGATCATCACCTCGAATAAAACTTTGTTGGTCTTAAAGGTACCCCGCTGGACTCCAACGTTGCCCTCTGAATCCTTCAAGCCGTTCCAGGCCTCTTCCTTTCTCCTCGGTCATTTTGTTTATAAAGCCGGAGCTTTATGGCAGCATCCGCTTCATGGCTATTTATTTATTTATTTATTTCATTGCATTTGTTAGAAGAAGAGATTGGATTTATACCCCGCCCTTCACTACCCGAATGAGTCTCAGAGTGGCTTACAAACTCCTTTCCCTTTCCCTCCCCACAACAGACACCCTGTGAGGTAGGTGGGGCTGAGAGAGCTCTTGACAGAAACTGCTCTTTTTCAAGAACAGAAGAAGAAGAAGAAGAAGAAGAAGAAGAAGAAGAAGAAGGAGAAGGAGAAGGAGAAGGAGAAGAAGAAGAAGAAGAAGAAGAAGAAGAAGAAGAAGAAGAAGAAATTGGATTTATACCCCGCCCTTCACTACCCAAAGGAGTCTCAGAGTGGCTTACAAACTCCTTTCCCTTCCCCTCCCCACAACAGACACCTAGAGATCCCAAATCTCACCAAATCGCTACGTGGGATCCGGATGTCTTCGCAGAATCCATGGCGCGGGGACAGCGAGATGCGTTGCACCGCCGTCGCCAGGACATGATGCTACGCATCGCTCTGGCAACGGGGCTGTTTGGAGCCCCGTTGCCAGAGCGACACGTTGCGTCGAATCCTGGTGACAGCGGGTGCGACACGTCTTGCCATCCCCGCGGCATGGATTCTGTGAAGACATACGATCCCCCGCCGCAACTTGGCAACCCTACAGACACCCTGTAAGGTAGGTGGAGCTGAGAGAACACTGACAGAAACTGCTCTTTTTCACTTTGAATCCAAGCTGTAGTTTTGTGTGGCACAAAACTGTTTTTTTGCTTATAGGGAAGATGAGCAACTGAAACCTGTTGGGATATTTGCGAGTTCTCTTCCTGTTTGTCATGAAAGCATTTCCTGTTTGTTACACATGCTAATTTCTAGTTAGTGATCCAATAGAATTGTCAACACGTTTTTCCTGCTAGAGCCAGGTGATAGGATGCATAATTAGTTAGTGTCGGGCCCCATGCTCCCTCTAAGCTGAGGAGTCTTGTGAGCAAGAATTCTACATTTGTGAGCTACTGGCATTAAAGTTGGGAGGGAGCGATTTGGCCACTAGTTTGCTCCGGAGCCATCCTTCCTGAGCTAAGGCAAAAATGTGTGAGCCAGAGGCTAAAGAACGGTGAGCTAGCTCACACTAACTCAGCTTACAGGGAACACTGGTTGGGATTCTCCAATTGGATACTCAATAGTCTGGGGATTAGCCAAGGGGGAGAGCATAGGGTCTCCATTTATTGCCCTTTGTTCTACTCCTAGAAGTTTCCTCTGAGTCACAAGTTAAGCCCTTAGAGAAGCAGCATGTAACCTAGAGCTAGTAAGGATGATTCATTTTACTTTTGTTCTCCAAGTACCTAATCTTTAGGTCCCGGCCACACGGCAGGGAAAACACCGGTCAAAGTGCGGCTAATTAGAGCCGCACCAAAATAGAGACGCTGCGGGATCCCGTGAGCCACGCGCCGTTGCTCCCCGGCACGATCAGATGCCGGGGAGGAAGCCAAACTGCGCATGCTCGAGCATGCGCAGTTCGACCGGGGGGCGGGGATGCACTGGCGCAAGGACGCGCCGCCGATTCCACAGCCGCACTTGCCGCAGCCCTTTCGATTGAACCCACCCGGTTAGGTGGTTCTTTTTTGGTGCGCTTTTTCGGCAGAAGGGACAGATGGGGGACAGGCGCAGCACGATTCCCAGATGTTGCTGTGGGATCGCGCCCATTTGCTGCGGCCCCGATCCGTCCCTCTCCCGGCCCAAAACCCCTCGTGTGAACAGAGCCTTTAGTAAAGTTAATTTTTTTCTAGACAAATATACCTGTGTCTGGCTGCTTTAATCCAACTCTGCTATTTTTGAATCTCGGTACCCAACGAAAGCTTTTACAGAAATGTGTTCCACCAAGGAGCAATGAATTCATATTCTATATTTGATGGTAAAGAAATTAGAAGTGAAAGGAAAGGACCTACCAGGAAACTGTGGCTTGTTTTCTGTGAATGCCTATTGCGCTGTTCAAGAGGGAGAGGAGGGGGGATTGCATTTTGCTTGGGGGGTCCAAAACACCAGGCTCTAGCCCCATGGCCTCCCCAGCTCTGTCCTATCAGAGGGTGTTGTGTCCGCTGTATATTCTCTTAGCCACATGGGAGCGACTTGTCTGGGGAGGGGGCTTCCTCATGATTAGGAGAATGTGTCAATGATCCAATCACGTGGGTCTTCAGTCCCCTCTAGTGAAGTCGGGATGCCAACCTCCAGGTGGGGGCTTAAGGTTGCCAGCCTCCAGGTGAGGCCTGGAGATCTCCCGCTTTCACAACTGATCTCCAGCGGACAGAGATCGGCTCCCCTGGAGAAAATGGCTGCTTTGAAGGGTGGACTCTATGACATTGTACCCTGCCGAGGCCCCTCCCCTCCCCAAGCCCCGCCCTCTCCCGAATCCACCCCCAAAGTCTCCAGGTATTTTCCAACCCAGACCTGGCAACCCTGTGGGGGCTGCAAATCTCAACTGATCTCCAGACGACATACATCACTTATTTGTTTAAAACATTGGTTCCACTTCTCCCGAAGAAAATGGCTGCTTCGGAAGGCGGGCTCAGTGGCATTATACTCTACTGAGACCCCTCCCTAAACCCCGCCCTCTCCCAGGCTCCTCCCTCAAACCTCCGGGTATTTTTCAACCTGCTCTGCAGCTTCTGTAGGGGTTTGGAGCCATTTGTGGATAAGGGGAAGCCCAAACAATGAAAACTGAGACCCACTTTCTTTCTCTCTTTTTTGTATTTTTAAATACATGCATGTGTGTGTGTGTGCTTGCATGTGAGTGTGCCTGTGCACCTGGAAGCCATGGCGACCTCTGGCGACTGACCCCTATCAGAGGCCTGGAGGATATTCAGAGAATATCCTGAATGAAGCCTGCCCCCGCCTCCCGACTGCTGGTATTCCAAGGAGGTCTCCCACCCAAGTACTTGCCAGAGTCGACCCTGCTTAGCTTCCGAGATCTGACAGCCCGGGGCCTACTTTCATAGGCTTTGTGACCCACTTTTGGGACTTAGGACCCACAGGATGGGAAACGCCAACATGCAGTGCTGGCCTAGTTCCTCATCTCCTATTCTGTGTCGACTGGTTAAAGGATGGCTGCCCTTTTGCTTCAGGGATACTAAGACACGGTATGAGGTTCATGCTTCGAGATGATGAGATATTGACAAACCACCCATTCCTTTTTTCTTTTTCTTTTTAATTCTTCTGCAGGGTTTCTTTGTTTCCGTCATCTACTGCTACTGCAATGGAGAGGTAAGCAACCAAGCTCGGACAGCGAGTTATACTTGGCCGAGAACATCCCGTACGTTTCTGTCCAGTCCTCGATCTGTAAAATGGGGATGACCGCAGCCTACTCCACATGCGCATTGGGAAGACAGACGGGCTTTTGCCTTTCCTCACGTTTATCAGCTGGTTGAGTTCTTTAGCTAAAGAAGTCAAACAGAGGAAGGCACACTGCTGCGTAGACTTGGATCTGCTTCTTCAGATCCAGTGACCCCAGTTGCCAAAAGGAAAACCAGCGTCACAGTAATGTAAGGCCTCGCAGCTTCAAGAATATTATCACAAAACACCTTGAGTATCCCAGGGGGTCTCCGACGTGGTGCCCGTTCATGGTGCCCACTAAGAGTTTTTAGAAAGTGGGCGGGGCCCAATGTTCCCTCTAAGCTATGGAGTTTTGTGAGCAAAAATCCTACTTTGTGAGCTACTGGCATTAAACTTGTGAGGGAGCAATTTGGCTACTGCATAAATTAGTTTGCTCTGGAGTCATCATTCCTGAGCTAAGACAAAAATGTGTGAGCCAGGGGCTAAAAAACTGTGAGCTAGCTCACACTAACTCAGCTTAGAGGGAACACTGGCGGGGCCAGGTGGGGCTCTTGTCCAGCAGTGCTCCCAATTGGCCCCTGACGATCTGATTGGCTTTGCAGATTAAAATAACATGGTTTCAGTGGCAGGTGCCACCGCCGTGTTTGTTTTATTCTCTCCCACCCCTCTTCCCCAGGCTATATTTTGAATAAGCCACTGTATATTCTGAATAATCAGTGTATATTCTGAATAACCTGTGCTCGGGCTTGCTTTATGGGTGTACCTTTGCCTCCAGGGGGGCAGTCATTTGTGGCTGGCCCCGCCTCCTCTGGCAGCCATTTTGTGGTTGCGCCTGTCACCCTGTGTGTCAGAATTCCAGCAGTGCACACAGGCTCGAAAAGTTTGGGACCCTTGAAGTATTTGATCCAAAACTGCTGAAAGGCAACTGTTAGTTTTCATCGCCAACAGATGCTGATAGAAAGGAGTTTGCATAAAGTTCAGTTGCAGGTTACAGCACAGCTGTGGTCAGGCCGAGGCCTCCAAATTCAGCACCCGTCTATGGCCTTTTAGTCCCCTGTGCATGAAACCAAGACGTAGGACTACAGAGATAGGCTTGTGTAAAGGTAAAGTAAAGGTAAAGGTTCCCTTGCTTGAAAGCCAGTCAAATCCGACTCTAGGGTTGTGGTGCTCATCTCCGTTTCAAAGCCGAAGAGCTAGCGCTGTCCGAAGACGTTTCCGTGGTCATGTGGCCGGCATGACTAAACACCAAGGTGCACGGAACGCAAATCAAAGTAAAAGATCTGGGAGTTACTCCTGTGTAAATTTGGTTAAAACTGAGATGTCTGGTGGATTGGAAGAAAAATGTTTTTCGGGAATTAACATGAAATCTGTTGTATTCCTGCACTGCAAAGGGACTGAAATGCACTATCAGAGAGAGAGAGAGATTGTATATATTGGTGTATTTCAGAGCTGCCTGTGGCATAAATAAGTGAGTAAATGACCTTTTGAACGGGGAAAAGATCAGCGTCGTGCCCTCTGAGCAGATTGGCAGATTTATCTCTTATTTGGGGCTTTTGCTAGTGTGCATAATTTATTCCGTTACTGCTCTCCATGGAGATGGGCCGGATGCCGTGAAGGAGCCTGAAGTTCTTCCCCTCTGGGCCACCCGGAATAAGAGCATGAGAACATAAGAAGAGGCCTGCTGGATCAGACCAGCGGTCCATCTAGTCCAGCATATTGTTTTACACTGTGGCCAACTAGTTGCCCTGGAGGGTGAATTGGCCGTGAAGGGCCTCCCCGGCTGCTGCCTCTGGTGTTCAGAAGTTTACTGCTTCTGAAATGGAGGTTCCCTTAACTTGCCCAGGCTAGTAACCAACGATGGACCAAGAATGTAAAGCCTTCTGTGCTCACGGAGCTCACTATGTCCACCAGCAGTGGAGTCCAGCGTATTTATTCACTGAATAAAGAAGTACTTCCTTTGTCTGACCCAAACCTGTTGCCCGGCAACTCCGTTGTCTGCCCCGGTTACGAGAGAGAAAGTGCTCCCTGTCCACTTTCTCCACCCCCTGCATCATCTAGTTGCCCTGGAGGGTGAATTGGCCGTGAAGGGCCTCCCCGGCTGCTGCCTCTGGTGTTCAGAAGTTTACTGCCTCTGAAATGGAGGTTCCCTTAACTTGCCCTGGCTGGTAACCACCGATGGACCAAGAATGTAAAGCCTTCTGTGCTCACGGAGCTCACTATGTCCACCAGCAGTGGAGTCCAGCGTATTTATTCACTGAATAAAGAAGTACTTCCTTTGTCTGACCCAAACCTGTTGCCCGGCAACTCCATTGGCTGCCCCGGTTACGAGAGAGAAAGTGCTCCCTGTCCACTTTCTCCACCCCCTGCATCATTTTATAAACCCCTCTCATTGTCCCCCCCCCTTCAGTCGTCTCTTTTCTAAACTGGAAAGTCCCAGGCTGTCCAGCCTTTCCTCTAGGGAAGGTGCCCCAACCCCTTAATCGTCTTGGTTGCCCTCATTGGCTTTTCTTATATCCTTTGCTTTTCTTATATCTTTGCAAACCTACGCGATAGAAACATTTTTTTTTCCTTTTAAGATTGGTTAAGATTGTCAGACCAGGACCTGGGAGACCCAGGTTCAAATCCCCGCTCGTGCCATGGAAGCTCGCTGGGTGACCTTGGGCCAGTCACGCTCGCAGAGCCTAACTTGCCTCACAGGGTTGTTTGTGAGGATAAAAGGGAGGAGAGGAGTAGATGTAAGGCACTTTGGGTCCCCGTGGGGAAGAAAGGCAGAAGAAGGAGGAGGAGAAGACGACGAAGAAGACGACGAAGACTAAGACGAAGAAGACGACGAAGATGACAAAGAAGAAGAAGACGAAGACGAAAACGAAGAAGACGAAGACGAAGAAGACGAAGAAGACAAAGAAGAAGAAGAAGAAGGACAGACAGATGGTGGGTGGGTAGGTAAGTCGGTGGATGGATGGATGGATGGATGGATGGATGGATGGATGGATGGATGGATGGATGGATGGATGGATGGATGGATGGATGGATGGATGGATGGATGGATGGATGGATGGATGGATGGATGGATGGATGGATGGATGGATGGATGGATGGATGGATGGATGGATGGATGGATGGATGGATGGATGGATGGATGGATGGATGGATGGATGGATGGATGGATGGGGCAGGGATGCTCTGTATTCTTGGTTCTTGGGGGGCCACAGTGGGAGGGCTTCTGGAGTTCTGGCCCCACAGGTGGACCTCCTGATGGCTCCTGGGTTTGGGGCACTGTGTGACACAGAGTGTTGGACTGGACGGGCCATTGGCCTGATCCAACATGGCTTCTCTTATGTTCTTTTGTTCTTCACTTGCACAGAAAGATGATGGTTTCAGAGTGGGCACAACTCCATGTTTGATAGGCAAGGGAGCCCGTCTTTTGCGAGTCAGTATTCAAGACGCCTTGCAAAGGAACTCCCTGTGATTCCTGCCCTAAGCCCCCTTCCTAGCCTTTTGGCCTGGCTGCTTCCTTTGTTTCTCT